ACAATAATAAGCTTGGATATAGTAAGTTTTCAGCTACAAAACACTATTTTTCCATATAGTTATGAACATGTATTTTCAAAGTGCTCTTCATTTTGTGAGTGGACAGCTGTAGTAGGCCACTTGGAACATGGCTTGTTACACTTCACTGTTGGCATTGTTGGAACACCTTAATCACTACCCAACTATGCTCACATTCTCTGTTTGGTCTTCATAAATGTTCAGAAAATGAATGCAATTTTTTAAACATGGAGACATTCAATGATACAGCTCTGTATTATATGTGCTTTCATACCAGACATCACTTTACTAACTGCTTTCTGTACCAGAGCAAAAAGAATTAGGTTATTGGTACTCTACTGTCACATCACTAACATAATAATATAAAAAAACATTACTTTTCAAGTGGAGAGTTTCAACATAGTGTAATGGTTAGCAAACTTGTCTTGCTAGAACAATTACAACTGAGTAGTGAATTTGATCCTCACTGGATGCCCCATAATTTTGGCCTTGTGCCACATATAGGCTATGCTTAGAAAGTTACCATAACTTTTGAACTGAGCCTCACAATTTTCACATTTCTTAAAAGCTCCTGGAGACATGGCCACATCATGTTGAAACACCACTTTATAAACAATCACTGAAGTTAAGCAACATCAGGCCTGGTCAGTACCTAGATAGGTGACCGCTTGGAAATAATAGGTGATGTCAGCTTGGATGTGTGGGTGGTGTGATAAATAGTGGCTCAAAATTGTCAATTGAACAGCTGAGTTTGAATTCCAGTCATGTTCATTATATTCACTTATGTGCAAATACCCTTGGTAAAGGTATGAATCCACCTCTTCTCTCCCCAGCTATGGGTTAATTAGTAAGACTTGTATCACTAAATCATTATTATCTCAAAAATAAAATAAAATTGTATATAATATTTAGATTTCTGCATTAAATAACTCATAGAGGTGTTGATATGCCACTAAACAAAATCAACCAACCAATTAAAGCTCCTGATAGATATTTATCTTAACTTAGCCTAGCACAAGACCATAATCATGGGCTGAGGATTGGACTCACCTTATGGGTATATTATTCTGACTTTGGGGAGGTGCCAAAGTTTATGTCTTACCCCAAGCATGTAAATGGCAATGATGAAGAGAGCAAGCCAACCCCCATTATTATTACTGGTTTTTTTTTTTTTTTTTTTTGTTTCTCTGTGTGTGTTAATTTAATTTTTTTTAATGGTAATGGTAACCAAGACTAACATGTTTCACTCTCTAGCAAGTACTCCTCAAAGATTTTTTTTAAAATTAAAGATTAGTGCCTAAATGAGAGTGGCTAGGACAGGTAATAATCGTAATTTGTTCAAGACTGACTTGTCTTGATTTTTTAAGTGGGTCTCTTTACTTTTTTTTATCTCATGAATGACTTAAGTTAACCCACTTATTTGTAAATCGGTTTATTTCAGTTTAAAGGAGTTCATTTTAATTTGACAATCTTAATCTTCTAACGATTCAAATTACTTATCTGTAATGATGGGGATCGCGTTTTTTATTTAATGTTGCGGCAAGATCACGAGTTCAATTCCACTTGATGCGTTATTATGTTTTTTAAAATATATCTTTTTGTGTGCGTTTTTCATTAAAACGTATACTTTTTCAAATTGTTTATTAAAAAAATAATATGATTATTACTATTTAAAAATGATTGTTATTGATGAGTTGGATGACTGACAACACAAGTCAGCTGAGAAAGACGAGAGCTAAAAGAAGAATAATGGCGGTCGGAGGTTGTTTGTAAACAGAGCGTGAAGGAGATTCACTGTTATTAATTCTTAGCTGACACCGACAGGGTCGTTATGTAGTTTTAATGTTATCAATTCGTTTAATCGACTTTCGCGATTTTTACTAATTTCTTGAAGAGGACTGACATATTTACCGTGAGACTTACTCGTCGCCAGAAAAGGACCAAAATATGGATCGCCAACAACAAATGACCTAGCTAAACACCTGTTCGTCAACTTCTTGTTTATTTATCAATTGTAAGTGAATTTTATCTTCAGATTCCATAATGATGGCAAAATTTGAATGAAAATTCAAACGGATTTCTTGTCTTTGTACTGTTTGATTGTTTTAATCTTCTACCTTATTTTCCAACTTGAAACCCCCCCATTTGTTTTTTTTAACCATTTAAACTTAAAGTTCATATTAAAAAAAATTAAAGAATGCAAAAATCATGGAGCTATCTATTTTAATCTTTTTAATTTTTTTATACATTCAGTTTTAAAAAATCGGAACCAAATAATTTTTTCCCTTTTTTAAAGAAAATATTTAAAAAAATCATTTTTTTGTACTTCTGCTTGCATTCATTCAATCGTTTTCAAAAGCGTTAAATTTCAAATACCGCAATTTTCTTTCTACTTTCTTCTTCCATTATGGTCGTTTTTAAAAGTGTTATTTAATTTTACTGTGTCTCATATTGCAATTTTATGCTTTTTGCGAAATATATCAAGCTTCGATAAGCCACTGAAAAATTCTTAAAACGCGAAAGGAAAAACGACGTCTTCAGAACAGTTTTTTTTACTCTTAAAAAGCATAAAGAATCGATTAAAAATTTTTTTTTTTTGAGAATTGATTTTATATTGCAACTATTTTACGTTTTTTTTATTGCTGTTTCTTTTTATTTATTTTTGTAATCATAAAGAAAAACTTGTACTGTAGTGTAAAAAAAGATTTAAAAAAAACATCCGTTTGCAGTATGAGTTGCTGTAAAAAAAAAATAAATCCTCCCTTTATTAATTTTTATTCATCTATTTATTTTCTTTATAATATAGGAATGAATAAATATAAATAAAGTCAATATTTAATTTCCAACAGTAGGGAATATAGTTTTTGTTTATTTCTCGTTTAGACGTGCGCAATATTTATACAAAAATTGTTTGAACTTAAATTTCAGTTTTATTTGAAAGAACACAAAAACTTAATCTGAATTAAAAGAAAAATTAATTTTCGTATATGAATATAAGTTTAGGTATTTTTAAAACATTTTCACGTTCACTCGTCGAACCGCCATAGACAAACGTTCAATATTGTAAACAACAAATTTAGAAATCTTTAAAAATCCAATATTTGTCCTAAAGTCAGTTAATAAATTTAACGAATTAATTAATTAATTGGATTTTGTAAACTAATGCTTACTTTTTGTTTAAGACATAATGAAAATGACATTTATGCATGGTAACCTGTGAGGTCAGAGGTCACAACTATCTGTTCCAATCCCTCTTAAAAAAAAAAAAAAAAAAAAATCCGCGAAAAAAAAGAAAAATACAGAACACTAGCAGTGCAATAATCAAGCTTTATGATTTATGAAATGTATACTCAAATTGAAAATTATCACACATCATAAAAAATGCTCAAAACTTAATGAAAACAAAGTTTTATCCTCACAATCTTTGTTATTAGTAAGAGGAAAGACCAAAGGATTTTTTGATTATTAAATTATATTTTTGAATACTTTTTATTAGAACCTTCAAAATTTTAGTTAAATATTTTATTTTTAACAGGTGACTATAAATTAATATGGGGAATATTAGCATCTTTTTGCTGTGAAAAACATTGATTTGGAAATAGCAAAAGTCAAATAATTGTAGGATTTTAAATGGAACTTTCAGAACTTATTAATGAATGAATTTTTTTTTAGAAATGTTTCTTTAGAAAATCTTGGTTAAAAATATATATATATATATATATGTGTGTGTGTGTTAACTCACTTTATTTAGTTTTATAATTTTCGAGAAATTCATTTTTGTAAAGCTTAATGTTTATTGCCATCATTGCCATTAAAAGTGCTTGTGGTAAGACAAAGTCCTTTGAGAATTTAAATCAAATCTATTCGTAATCACAAAATAAAAAATGCAATAAATCTAAGACAGCTTTGGATTGCATTTAGGAAGAAGATATAGACACTATGATCTTGAGGAAAAAAATTATAAATAATGAATTTTTACAAGAATTGTTTTCATTTTATTTTTAAAATTTAAATAATTTATAAAGTTTTTTAAATCCTGTATTAATTTGTCTCATTTCTGTGATATTATTATTAAGTAAAAAACTATATTTACTAATCATAAATGTAAAGGCTTACAACAATTCAGTACTCCACCAGTATTTTAGAAAAAGAGTTTTTTGTATTTTTTTTTGTGTATTTATAAATGTATTAATTTTTGAAAATATGGACATCTATATATGACATTATCAGAAAATAAGATTGGTAACTATAGTAAATTTAAGTCCAAAGTTCCTAAAATTCAAAAATATTAGATACAATATTTTCTAAAATTTTATAGATTACTCAGTAGTTAAATAATTATATAAAAAATGTGCTCACGTTATATTCAAGTAATTTTTACAGATATGTCCCCTGTAGAAAAAATTTGTAAACATAAGTCTATAAAGATTGTTGTAAACACCTCATAAAACCCCCACCCCTGTATTAAAAAATACTTTTCTCTGATATTTTAAGCTAAAAGTAATATGTTTGTTTCAAATTGGATTAATCGATGATACTAAAACTCTAATTTTATATGTATGTATATGTGCATCCAAAATACAGCTTAAACAATACATAATACCCCAACCAATTTAAGAATATACTGTGCCTTGAACCCCTGCTGAGTGCAGTGTCAAATTTTATTAAAATTGGACAAGGGATTCATGATCTAGTTCTATTTTTATGGTATTTTTAATAGGAAATTCAGTATTTGATTTTGATATACATTTATATCAATCTGTGAATATAAACAAATACTTGCATATTATATTCCAACTATTGTGCATGTGAAAAATAATAAACATTCATAATACATTATAACAACATTATCAAATAAATTTAGATATACATAACATGACATGTATTTATACAATTCACTACACTATGTTAGAACTTTTATCAACAAATAGATGTTTGCATACATCATATTCTCTGCTATCCTCCTCTTATATTTATGATAGTTGCTTTCTACGATCCTTGCAGTGGAAGAGTTATTAAGAAGGGTTTGGTAAGTATTTTTCTCCTTTAATATCTGATTGATCATTCTCTGCATCTTCTTCTTCAAGAATTTTCTTTCTTTTTTTTATACATGTAGGGATGATTTTACTATAATGACATTGGCTTTTGGAAATTGGAATTTTCTCTAAATGTGACATCTTTGGCTCACTCACTCCTTTAACTATATCATACTAAAATACTAATCTTGTATGTATGTTTAAACGATATGTAATACTCCAACCAACTTAGGAGCATATTGTACCTTGAGCCACTGCCCAGTGTCAGTGCCAAATTTCATTAAAATTAGACCCGTGATTCTTGAGCTAGGGTCATTTTTCTGTTTTTACGGCATTTTTAATAGGAAATTTGGTATTTGTTTTCAATACATATTATGTCATATATAAACAAATACTTGCATATGATATTCCAACTATTGTGCACGTGAAAAATAATAAACATTCATAATACATTATAACAGCATTATTAAATAAATTTAAATATACATAATATGACATGTATTTATACAATTCACTACATTGCATTACTAGAACTTTTTTGTAGACAAATATTTCAGATGTTTGGCAACTACATTGGCAAAATATGGGTAGGTCATTGTAAAACCATCTGTATGGCTGAAAAATTGTGTCACATGACTTGATGGTAAATAAATAGATGCACACTGGTTTGCAGTTACATATTTTTAGATAAATGTGGGGAAGAAACAAATATATATAATAAAAAATATAATTATTATTTTGAAAAAATTACCTAGAAAAAATATATTTATTACTGTATAAAATACAATAATTTTGGCACATGGCTGAAAAGGGAAGTGGGGAAAGGCTGATCTTCACTATCCTAGTCCTAAGTTAATCATGATCACAACCCATTCATCTGATACATTTTATCCATTTACCAAAAGAATTCCTCCATCTCCATTCAGTCGTACATATGCCACAATACCGCATATTCACAGGGGGAACCTACAAAAACACTCCATGATATAAAAATGTCAAAATGTTTAAATTAATCACCACAGAGATCCTTCCCTGCCCTCCATTAGAATGTCTGATGCTCAACTTCTTGAGAGCAACTCACCTGGGATGGAACAAATACATTGAGTCAATTGCTTCATCCACTGTCAAGGAAAGTTGGCTCCCTGTGTCGTGCCAGGAAATTTTTCTCCCCGGAATCAATCCTCCAGATCTACAAATCAACAATTCGCCCTTGCATAGAGTATTGCTGCCATATATGGTCTGGAGCCCCTTCTGTTTGCTTTGGGGTTCTTGATAGACTCCAGAGGCAGATATGCAATATAATTGGCCCTGCTCTGGCATCTTGTCTACAGTCACTTTCTCACAGATGTGTTGTCGCCTCTCTCTGTCTGTTTTACAAATACTTTCATGGCAATTGCTCTGAGGAGCTGCATTCGCTGGTTCCCAGACTTCATGAGTTCAAGCGCCCTACGAGGCTGGCATCCCACTCTCACCCTTTCACTGTCGAAATTCCTAAATGTAAATCTCTTCTACTCCAATAGCTTCATGTCTCACACATCTCACCTGTGGAACTCCCTTCCCTATTCCAGTTTCCCTGAGAGCTATAATCTCCAGCTATTCAAATGTAATGTCAATCGACATCTCCAGTTGCCTTGATCTATCCACTACCCTTCTCTTCATCCTTTCTTCTATCACTCCTATCTGATCTTCTATAACCCCCTAGCGTCCTAGTGGCTTCTCGCCTGGCTTGGGGTGAAACGCTTAAAAAAAAAAAAAATACAAAAATATATAAAAATTTCAGGAAACATGAAATGAGAGGGAGGGAATGAACTCATTAAACTAACAAAAAATTGAAACAAAAACAAACTAAAACAAGACAGATGTTTGTAAGACTCCTCCACCCTCAAAATAATTACCTATAAAAAAATGAAACCAAGTGCACAAATAGGAGGCATCCATACTTTGTTATTTCAATAAATATGAATCTCCCTTCCCTAAGCAGACAATTGCTGCTTGTGGTTTCTTTATTTTTATTTTTGAATGAATGATCTTAAACTTTGAAAATATGGTAAATACTGAAATTTGTATAAATTGCCCCCCCACTCCCCAGGGCTACTATTGCTTGAATGGAAAGGCATTTCATGTGATATCAGTTTGCAATACTATTCTTTAAAAAAAAAAAAAAAAAAAGTAAACTTTTTTCTATGTTTAAGGGGGAATGTCTTTCCCGCCTGACAAATTAAGTGTTATTTGTGGTATCAATATATGAATTGTTAAAACTATTAAATTTATTTCAATGATATATTAATAATTTTAATATGTTGAAAGTTTTGTCAATTTTTTTCTTTTCTGTGTATCAGGGACTACATTTTTTTTTCACAAATTCTGAAAACCTTTCCATTTATTAAGTTCTTATTGCATTTGATCTAAGTAATATTGTTTAATGTAAGCAATAATTGTTATTACAATAATTTGTATTGCAAATACAAATTAAAATATTTGTAACTAATAATAAAACAAGATAATATTGTTACCTCATCATTTTATATCATGAACTACTTTTAAAAAGGAGTTCAGTGGGTTTATGGGTGGTTTAGTTAAAATTTAAATCAGCTAATCTTCCTAGAGTAAAATTTTTTAAAAAAATATATTTTATTTTTGAAAGATTTTTTAATAAAGGGAATTACATTGTGCTAACAGATTTGTAAATATGACTAAAAATGGCTAAAAAAATTCCAGTCAATTTAAATTCATTTTGAATTTGTTCATTGGAAATATTAACTTTGATTTATTAGCTTGAAACTAAAACTAAAATAAAAGCTTTAAGAAAGATATTTTCATTTTTAAAAATTAATTTTAAACCTTGTATCACTTTACTTTGGAGGTACCTACATTAGCATTTTTATTTTGTGATTTTTATTTTTATTTTCGTAGCTGTTAAAATAAATGTCATAAAATATCTAATTGCATCCAAAATTATTATGAATTTAAGTGTTATTGAATTATCATATATTACTCTTCAGATAGGGAAAACTCGACAAAGGTGATGATTCAGAATTATTTCTTATTTGAACATCCATACAAGGAATCTAACAGCTGCTAAAACAAAAAAAAAATTTAAATCTTTCAAAAAAAGGTTCACACCCGAAAATGGCATTAAACTTTACATTTTTCACTTTTTCAAACATGTCTATTTGATTAAAAAAAACTCTTCTTACAAACATCAACGAGATGTCCAATGAGAGCACAGAAAAATTATAAGTAATTTTTTTAAAAAGTATAGATTATTATTATTTTTTTTTTTTTTTTTTTTTCAAACTGAAAAAAATAATGTGTTTTATTAAATTGCGTAAGCAGCAACTGTCAGAAAAACTTATTTTTAGAGTTTTATTTTGAATTATTTTTTGGTAAGGTTTGGGATAAATTTTCTGTATGCATGCACTTGATATTGCATGAATTTCTTACTGAATTAACATTTTCAAGGATTTTTCTTCATATAACTGTTAAAAACTTTTCTCAAACATCCCTCAAATTAAAAAGTATACACAAGATATTGGAAGAGAGGGTAAAACAGGGACCCCAAAAATATTTTCACAAAGTCTTCTAATAAAATAGCCGATTCAGTATACAATTCATTCATTCATTCATTCATGAATAAGTTCTGAAGATTTCGTTTCTCCTGATTTTTGGCAAATATTTTAAAACAAAGAGTTTTTTTTACTTTCATTGCAGAAAAAGTACCATTTTGGTGATACCTACATATATACACACACACACACACACACACACACACACATATATATGTCTCGAGTAGTAATTGAAGTAAATTTGGTTTCTGATGAGTGGTCTCCTACACATTACCTCATTTGAAAATTTGTCAAACAAGGGCTACATGCAGTAAAAAATGGTGAAATTACAATTTCATGAAACCCCCATCAAACAAAAGCGTGTCAAATCTTACATTAATAAATACTTTGTCACATTTTTTTCCTTTTTGTGGAAGTAAATAAATCCTTAAGTGTTTTTTCTTCTTTCCATTTTCATTATGTTGCCAAAAATGTAAAAAGAAATTGTTTTAAAATTCAGGACCAGATACAATCACTCCCTACAAAAACAACATAAAAATTCAATTTTTTTTTTTTTTTTTTTTTTTATTGGTAGATGTCAAAAAATACCTGCGGTTTTTCAGTCTTAGCCATAGGTGTCATGGTTACAAAAATTAGGACCCACTCATTGTGCAATATTGTAGAAGTATTTATATTTTATACCTACAAATGCAAATATGATACAAACAAGTCCATTGTTATATATGTCAGAAGCTAAGAAATATCTGTGTATCTTGGACTTTGCCACAAACTTCAATATATACATCTTTTTCTTTTCTTTTTTTTTTTTTTAGTGTGGTGTTAGGTGTGTACCCCCTGGTAGATGGATCCTCAGTTATCATACTAGTTAGCCTTTGAACCTTCCTTCCTGCCTGAAAGTGTCATGATCCAATAATCTGTAAGCTATTCATCTTCAATCTAATACATTTTTTTAACTTTATGTATATTTATTTTTGTTCATGTATTTTATTATAATTCATCATTTTAAAGGCTTCATATAATCACCCACTTATTTCTGTTTCTTCATATAATTCTTATAGAGAATTAAAATTTGCTTAGGCTTCTGCCTAATTGATAAACTTGAAAAAAGTGATTATAATGTTTGGGTAAATGTTTGTTCAGGTTGTAGAATTGGCAAACCATGTTCGAATTACAGCTTTGTTGCATTCACTTTTACACTAATATCTTTGGAAAAGTATGACTCTGTCTCTTCTCCCTCCAGTTATAGGTTAAACAGCAGAACAACCTGGGGGGGCCCTTTAACTATTAGTGGCAACCAGCCAAAGAGAAAGACAACACTGAATTCCAACCTGTGGAGATGGCCAAAGAGAAACCACTCCACTATCTTTTCCAAGAAGTAATGGCAATTATAAATAACAAATAAAAGGAAACAGTGGAGAACCATTATCACCTATGTTCTGAAGAGAAATGGTATTTAAAAAAGGGTTTGTTCATACAGGAAAACTGTCTTTAACATTGTAAGTACCTAAAAAAAATCTAAATTTATTTATACCAAGTATGAGAGGTAAAGTTGTGTTAAAAAGTAAAATTAGTGTACTTGTGAAAATTTAGTATGTTTGTAAATGTCATCCTACTACAAATAGACATTTTGATCAATTGTATTATCCACACACACACACACAGTTAAAACTACAAAAGATTAAAATCACAATTACAAAAAAAAAAAAGAAAAAAAAGCTGATTCATTTTTCATTTGTATTAAAAATTGATATCTGAATATTCTATTCTTTAAATGAAAGGCCATTACAATCCTAAAATTATTTTTCCTTAAAGTATTGTGTAGGATTTTGGAATTAACTGGTGATATATGATAAGCACATCTACAATTTAAATTTTAGAAAAGAACACAGAAAAGAATTTATTAAAATTGATATAACATCCAAAAGACAATTCAAACTTGGCATTAACCATTTTCCTTCTGAACTGAAGATGACTGGATGAAAGACAAAAAAAAGAATCATGATAAAACACTTGCTGTTTTTTTTTTTTTTTTTTAAGAATTACTAAATTCAGATAAACTTTTTATCCTATATATATATATATATATATATATATATAATAGCTGGCCACTTGTATTTAAGGATACCTGTCAACTAGGGCAGCTAGCCAATCCTTATTGCAGACGCTCGCTCAGGCACATTTGTTTTTGCTCAACACCCACAGAGCCCACCTGTGGTTTATACTGCAACTATGCTGAACATAGTTACAGTTTCTGGGAGTGAGTGTGTTATCTAGTGTGATCAACAATCTGAACAAGGCCTTGACCAGGATGGCTTGTGGGTTTGTGCTAGCACAGCTATCAATGTGCCTAAAGTTCTATCTACCCAGTTTCACTCATAAGACTTGCATCAACCTGTGATATGGTTTTCAGGCACTTTCCAAAGGTGTCACACGCTGGGATCGACCTCAATCCATTCCGATAACATCAGGAAGTCTCCTTCCTGACAAATCATCCATGGTGAGATTTGAACCCGGGTCTCATGATCAGAAAGTGAATGTTCTAACCACTTGGCTCTGCACCCATAATATATATATATATATATATATTACTAGTGTATATTAATTTATGTGCTGTATTAAATTGGCAGCAAGGTAGCATTCTTTTACAGTTGTAACTAAGTTTTATATTAACAGTTTCTTCTTTGCTTGTGGACCTCTTTTCTGGTTTCTTGCTTCCCAGTCATGTTTGATTGTCAAAAGTTTAAATGCAATGTCAATCATTATCTTCTTAATTCCTGCTCTTTTATTGTTCTCACTCCTTAATATTTTTCTTTTTTTTTTATATTTCACACTCAGTAGTCCTCTACATCTTAGTGGTTTTATCACCTTACTTGAGGTGAAAAGATTAAAAAAAAATCAGTATGATAATATTTTATCATATGTTACCACATAACAATTCAATGTGGAACTTAGAGTAAATGTTCATTCTATATTGATTCCTGGGAAAAGAAAACTAGTATGTATGACTTTGGTCCTATAACTGTTACATTTTAATGTATGAAATTTGTATACAAATCTAATAGCTATTATGAACAGAGGTCATATCTATGAATGAATATTCTACTCTTAAAAATTGTTTTATTGTTTTAATATTATATATTCATATATATATATATATATATATATATATATATATATATATATATATGAATGAATAATACTAAAACAATTGGTACAGTCCATATATTATACAGGGATAACCTTTTTTATTTATAAAATATATATTGCATTTAAAATAAAACGGGATTTTTATTTTATATTTAAAATAAGAAGGATTAATGGTATTTATTGAAAAGAATTATATTAAAATAGACAGACTTAAAACTATATAAAAAAAATATTAATTTAAGTTTAGATTATTATTTTATATTAAACATAAAGGGGAATTACTGTTTTTTTTTTTTTTTTAATTATTATATAAAAATAAACAGACTGAGTGACCATAAAAAAATAATAAACGGAAAGGTCATAATTAACAGTAAAAATTAATCTGGATCAACATATTTCAACAGATAATTATTTTTATACCTACATGTGACCATCAATTCATTTCTCTTGTTTAATGTTAGGGTTATTTAAATATTTTAAGATAACTACAAGGCATCAATTACATCTATTGCCTTTCCCATTGTAAGATATATATCTCGGTCCAATTAGTGAAACCTTTCTGCTCAAATCTTTCATTAAGCTACAAATACTTACTTCACTGTTGCTATAAAATATAAAAAAGACTTTGGTATAAGTTCTTGATAATAGTTATATTTCGAAAAGATAAAATAATCAATCAATTTAAATGTTTTCAAAACCCTCAATGTCTGAATCAGCAGATCCAAAGACACAAACCTAAAAGAAAAATAATTAATTGACTACAGAAATGTTTTGCTAATTGATTTCATTTTTACAGTTGGTAAATCAAATATGTTTCTTAGTGGGAAGAGTTGCAACCTTTCAGTCAGTATATGGGCTGACTGTATAATAAAATATGTCCAGTTAAAGTAAACATTGCTTTATAATACATTTTATATGATAAAATCTTTTTGAGATTGATGTATTTTTCTTTCAAGAAAAAAATAGTGCATCCATTTCCCAGTGAAAATGTTTGAATTTACTGAATATATATAGTTCATTATATACTGCAAATAGTGTTAGAACCTATGTATTTACAGCAAATAATGAAATCCTATTGTAAAAAATTAATAGAACCTTTCTGATTTCATGAAGTTCTGTTCTTTTCAGTGAAGTTTAGCTTAAAAATTCTATTTTTGTACACAATTTTAATATTAAGTTTTATCTTGGGTTGTGTTTTTTTTTTATTATAGGTTATGTTAAAAAGAATCTGTTGCAATCTTCATGGTGGCAAAGTATTACATTGTTCAGTCATTTACTTTCATTTTTGTTTTTAGATTAAACTGGAAAAAAAATTAATCACACCTTTGTTTGAATTGTCGAGTTGTATTTTTGATCCTCAAGTATTTAGACGTAAAACACTTGAAGGAATAATTAAAAACAACAGAAAATATGAAAAAATAATTTGTAATTAATGTCTGTTACAAACACCAAATAGCAAAGATTAATTTTTAGCCCACATTTTAATCATATTTAAGTCTTATATGACTAATTGTCTTTTCCACTGTCGAGGATGGCAAATAGAAAAAAAAAAAATTACAGTAGTTAAACATTGGGAATTACCCATAATTGTTTATTTTATTTTTTCCTTTTAATCTGTATTACCACATATACTTGCATATTATGTGACCTTTGAAGACCTAATATTGAAGCTAAAATTTTTCAAAATTAGGTCTTCAAAAGTCACATGATATGTGACTATATACGGTACTTTATGCAAAGGGTAACCTGATAATTAAGCCTTGCAACCCTCACCAGTATATTTGATGCTGAGAATAATCACTCCTGCACTTCACTATGTCTTTTTCTTAAAGTAACCAGATAAGTAAGTACTTTTATATTCCAACCAGTAAAAATTCATAAGTCAAGATGCCCTTATTTTTATTTTGCTTTTTTTGATGCAAAAAAAAAAATATATTCTGTATTTCAAGTTCTGAAAAATAATTCAAACTTAAAAATAGTTTAAGAATATTACTACATGGAATAATTCTGACACTAACAAAAATTTATGCATATTTATTTTTTCTTTTTGATATTTTAAGGTGATTAAGTTGAAACCTAACTGTAACTTAATTAGATAATTATTTTCTGGGAATGCTTTAAATATTTAATTGGCTAATTTGTTTATAAATTTGAGTGTAAGGCAAGTGTATCATCATAATCATTGTGCCCTGGTGCACCTTACCATAGCAACTAAAGATGAGGCAGGATGTCTAACAGGCTATAGATACTGTGTAATGAGTCTCATCCTCATAGAATGCTCCACACTTGTGGCCTTGTACCAGACTAAGCCAAATTTTGTAAATAACCCAAATCATTATTTTCTGATAGAACTTTAAATTTTTTAATTGGTTAATATTGAAAATGTCAAAATGAGTAACACTTTTTTCTTAGTTCTTTGGGAAAACTGAATATGCGTAATTGAATTTCAATCTATTTCACTTTTGTTCTATGCTTAAAATACTACTAAAACACTTTTGGAATATGGTAATATTTGAAACTAGACTTATATATCTATATATATATCTATATATATATATATATATATATATATATATATATATATAAATAAAAAGAAAGAACAGTAAGATATATAATCCGGTGTTCTTATAGATATTTTATTTTTACAAAATAGTGCTCAATGTAAATTTACAGAGCATTAATATTATAATTGATTTATTTAAAATGTTTTTTTAAGCTACACAGTTCTAACCATGTTTAAAAAATGGAAGCTAAAAAGCTATGAATTCG